AATTGGCAAATTAAAACTCATCAAAGAAGAAAACCATTTATAAAATAGCCACACCAATTAAAATGGAAAAAGAATACAACGGTGAATAAAAAAAAATAGTGGCTTCATATAGTCATGAAAACGTAGTCACAAAACCGTGGTTAATACAGCCACTTTAATATTAGTGGGAGAACCGTGGTTATAATAGCCACTAAATATAGCCATGTTATAGATTTTATTATCGTGACTATATAAGCCACAAAAAGAATCGTGGTAACAGCGTGGTAATAGCCACGATAAACCACACTTTTTTCCAATCCCAAATATGACCTAAACTATGTTATAGTTCAAAAAAACTATCTGAACTTTTTAAAACGCACCTAAACCTACATTGACCGTAAGAAAAGTTAATAAACCGTTAAAATGATAAAACGACGTCATTTTGATTTCAATATTTTTTTTTTAAAAAATGTGCACATTCTGGGACTCAATCCCGTAATTTGTCACTTTTTAAAACGGACACATCAACCATTAGACTAAAAAAAACTTTTTAAATAATACTACAAATTTGCAATTATATATGATACTATACTTTTTCATCTTCTCTAACTAAAACTTTGGTTATTATTATTTTTGATTCTTATAAATATATTAACATATTTTTCAATTATTATATCTTTAATAAAATTATATTATACTAAAATATAAATAATAAAATATTTATAATTATAAAAAATTAAATATGTTTCATGTTTTCCAACTATTTACAAAATGTCCATATATAAATTATTATAAAATTTTAAAACTTGAATGGAAATTTATTTTATTTTGGCAAAGTATATTAAAATTATATTAATTTTGAGAAACAAAATAAATTAACATTCAATTTTTAAAATTTTAAAATAATTTATATGTGCACATTTTGTAAATAATTGCAAAACATGAAAAATATTTAATTTTGTATAATTATAAATATTTTATATTTATATTTTAGTATTTATAATTTTATTAAATATGTTAATATATTTATAAGAATCGAAAATAATAATAACAAAATTTTTAATTAGAGAAAATGAAAATTAATAGCATATATTATTGTAAATTTTAGTATTATTTTAAATTGTTGTTTTAGTCTAGTGGTTGATGTCTCTCTTTTAAAAAGTGACAAGGCACAGGTTCATATCCCAGAATGTGCATATTTTTTTAAAAAATAATGAAATCAAACAACGTCGTTTTATCATTTTAACGTTTAACTAACTTCTGTCACGGTCAATGTAGATTTATGCATGTTTTAAAAAATTCAGGTAGTTTTTTTGAATTATAACATAGTTTAGGTCGTATTTGACACTAATGGTTTGTTCTGGTTGTATTTGTCATGATTGAAATTGTTTGGGTAAGAATAAACACTTTTCCCCAAAAAATATGCTTTAACCTTTAATAGTGGGAGATATCTATATTATTAAAGTTGAAGTACATTTGAGGGTTGTTTGGAAACATGATTAGTAGTTTAAATGAGAATTGTTTGGAAACATGGATAACAATATAAAAAAATATATAGTATTCTTTTAATAATTTCATTAATTATATTACCTTAACAATACATCACATTATTAATTATATTTCACATCATTAATTATATTTACTATAACAATACATCAAATCATTAATTATCTATCTAATTAAAGTAGAAGTACCAATTGGAGTGTTTGGTAACAGGTTTACCAGCTATTTTTAACGGTTGTTTGGTAACAAGTATATCTATCAAATCTTAACATATTTTCGGATGGGCTAAGGTATACTATAATTTCGACATGCCCAAATCGTCACAATGATATATTTAACAAATCTCTCCTATAATTTTATTAACAAATACCAATAATATATTCCCTTAACTAACCTACGTTTTGTTCAAAAAATATCAATAATATATATTTCGAAAAATTTAAAAATAAAGTCATTTTAAAAAAAAAAACATTTTTTAATAGATCAGGATTTCTTTAAAAATAATAAAAAATTAAATAATATTAAATTTTATTGACAAAATATATTATTTTAAAAAAAATAATGAAAATGTTTATTTTTTTAGATAAAATATTACTTGGAGAACTCGCAAGTTACCAGCAAAATTAAGCGGGGAGGATGTGGTATGGTGAATTTTGAACCGCGGATTGAACGGGTCAAAATTTTAAGTAAAAAAAAGTAGTAAACCTGCGGGTTATATACGCCCAACGGGTTTAAAACATATCAACTGGCAGAACCTCTGATAGAATAGTACTTGAAGAACATATGCCAATCCGAGTTATATACGACAAGGGAATCTAAAAATACTCTATTATTTGTGAAATTCAATTTAGTTTTTGGTTTTTAATTTGGTACGTTCAGTTTGCGGCTTCGAATAAATATATCCAAACATATACTCTCAGTTTACAAATGTGGTTAGATATTTAATAAAAACAATTAAAACAATTAAAAACAAAACCCGCCCTTTCCAAGGGCGGGTCAAAATCTAGTCTACTCTATTAAAATAGAGTCACTTTTTATCTACATATAAGTACTCTACTAACTAGGACCATTTATCTACAATCCTAACAAATATAAATATCAAGTATAACAATATAACATTATTTTATTTATCCCTTAAAAATAGCATCTAATTTTGCTGGTTATTTATATTTGTATTGATTTATATTTGTACATAACATATATTGCCTTCACATAGCATGATATTTTATAGAGTAGATATAGTACATATATATAATATTTATTTAATATATTTCTTAACTATGATCTTTGTGTATTAGAAAAATATATCATATTATATTATTATACATGAATATTATAAGTTGTCTAATTAAAAATAATCTTGCCATAGTATACATGTCATGTGTATTAGAAAATTACATACTTCTATACTATTATACGTACATATTATAATTAGTCTAATCTATATATTATTTAAGAAGTAAATTTGCTTAGTTGTCATGTTCTCCATAACTTTAGGTAATTTTGTTTATTTATCATATTTTTAATATTTATATATAATTTATTTAAAAATAAAACGAATTTATATGATATATCATATTTTTAGAAAATAAGATAATTCTTGTGATTTATGTTGTTATCTTGAATTAAATTTTTATAAATAAAACTTAAACTTTAAATTAAGATATAAAAATAATTATACTTATTATATTTTCTTAAATAACATAAATCTTATGTATTATGTGGTTATATTGAAAATATAATTTCCTATTATAAAATTTAAAATTAAGATATAAAATTATATTATTAATAATTAAATTTAAATCATCAATAAAATTATTTTAAAAGTGAATTTGTTGATTTGTCAACTTCTCCATGATCCTAGGTAAATTTGATCAATTATCATAATTTCTTTAATTTTGTTTTGTTATTGATTATATAATTAAAACTAATTTTTATTAATAATATGATATTTTAGAAAATAAGTTAATTCTTATGTATTATGTTGTTAGCTTGAAAATATATATTTTTATTATACAATTTGAAATTAACATGCAAAAAAAATATACTATTATTTAAGAAGTGAATTTAATGTTTGATGGTTTGTCATATTTTCCATGATTTAGGTAACTTTGATAATTATCATAATTTATATAATTTATTATAGATTTAAAACAAATTTATATTAATAGTATCAGATTCTTATAAAATAAGACACTTCTTATGTATTATATGTATTATATTGTTGTTTTATAAATATATTTTTCTATTAGAAATTTAAAATTAAAATTTAAAAAGTTGTAATTATACTATAGTTAAAATAAATTTACACTAATAATATTATACTTTTAGAAAATAAGGTAATTCGTAGGTATTATGTTGTCATCTTGAAAATATGTTTTTATATTATATAATTTAAAAGTAAATAGAAAATTATCTATTATTAATTAAATATAAATCATCACTCAAACAAAGTTATTTAAGAATTGAATTTGTTGATTTGTTAAGTTCGGCATGATTTTAAGTAGTTATAATTATATGTCATCATTTCTATAATCTTATATAACTATTATATAACTAAAACAAATATTTTTTTCTATTATAAAATTTATAATTAAGATATAAAAATTATAATTAAATATAAATTGAGTAAAAATATTTGTATAAATATTATAATTAAATATAAATCAAGCAAAATAATTATAGAACTATATTCTTTTAAATATTTATGATGTTTGAGTTTTGTCATTTATAATTATTTGATGTTTGATTTTTAATTTTCGAAAACATAAGTAATAAAATTAATGAAACATCAATTAATAAATATTCATAAGAGAATTATGCCCGCAAGTGCGGGCAAAACACCTAGTTATAAGTAAGACACACACACACACACACACACATATATATATATATATATATATATATATATATATATATATATAATAAACAATTCATAACTATTTCACCAACAATAATATATATATATATATATATATATATATATATATATATATATATATCTAGACTTTTTTAAATAAACATATTTCACCGATAATAATAACAACTAACCGAAAATACATAAAAAAATAGATGTATTAATAGATTAGATGTCAATCATTATGGACTTTAAGAAATTATTATAAATGGCCCAATTTTTTTTAATTAGTTAATAGTTATGTGAAACTGACCTATTTGTTTTTTTTGTGTTACATTATAAATATTTTTTTAGAAAGATCCTATTAAATAGATTACTTAATATACTTCAAATATCTTAAAATAGTAACATCATCTAAAGATATGGTAAAATACAATTTCATTTGAAATTTCAGTTATAAATTTTTTATCCAAAAAATAATATATAAAATATGTATATATATATATATATATATATATCTTAATTAAATTTGTGATTTTACAAAATAATAAGATATCCGCGGATCAAAGTCTAGTTGTCTCTTAAAGAGATGAAACACTTTCAGAATTGTTTATTCATGGGTTTAAGGAGAAAACAGAAAAGGCCGCACATATGTAATTAATTCACATAATCTAAACATTTTATTATAACTTCGTGTTATAAAGAATACATGAATTGTTCTCAGGAAATCACAAGCACAACTACATAGTTTTATAAATATCTTTAAGCAAGCAGACTGTTTCTAATGTACATGTAATGTAAGTGACCAATATAAGCTCAAATCTCACTGGTAAAAGCATTGTGTTTCTCAAAGACTCTGGTAACAATGTTATATGATAGTGCAGCAACATTATCCACTCTGTTTGGCACTCGAGGAAGTAGATGTTGTCATGAACGATTCACCACACCCGCATTGACCTTGCGAGTTAGGATTGATGAACACAAACTCTGATCTGCAATTAAACAGAAAGAAAGCTAATACCGTTTCAAAATCTGTCAAGAGAAATATATAAACAGACAAAGTTTTTAAATGTGACAAGAGCTTGCAAACCTTAGTTTATCATCTATAAAGTCCATCTTGGTTCCAATCACATGCATCAAGGCCTTCGGTTCCACAAGGATCCTCACACCTTTCTCTTCCACCAACTCATCAAATTTCCCTTTCTCATCTGATACAGCACTCACGGAGATCAGTCTATAAATAACGTCTCAAGATACACGAACAACAGCATGTAACATAGCAAGAAAATTCTCGTCGTGGAACAACGAAGCAAAGAGGCAAGCATCTATAAACTTAAAAGGTGAAACTATGCATTCAACAACGTTTCCCTCAGGAAGGGAAACAAGAAACATCGACCGTAATCAATATTAGAACACAAAAATGTCATAAATCGAATCACTAGACACTTCAAGATCCGCCAAAGCTTATTACTAGAAAAACAGGTAGCTCTTGGATTATAGCAGCATATGGCTTTCACATTGACGAGATAAGAACCAGAGGATAAAGAGAATTTAACAGAACCTTTGGTCTTATATGCATTCAGGTAGTGTCTCGTATGAGGCAGGAATTATCCGCATGATCTTTAATTCTAAAACTAGATAGCACTTGATACATATAAATGCATATAGCTAAGAACCAGATTTACCACTACTGTGAACAAGCACACAGCATTACGAGATGAATAGCCCTAGTAACATTTCATAAGCACAAGATTAAATATATATGTAAATGCATATGGGTTCTTCAAAGATGAGGTAACACACATAAGCAATTCCCAAATCTCAATCTGACCAAGCCTAGTGTCTATATATCCACGTCATATTGTTATCAAACACATGAATAAGAACAAAACATAGCAAGGTTGGGACTGAAACTTGGTAATAAGTTTGCTTCCACCCAAAATCAGAGAAAACAAGAAAAATCAAGAAAAGTTTGTGTGATAGTTAACCAGCGTAATTAAGGGTGTATGATAAACCGTTACACCCTCTCGCCTTAACGCCTAATCGGAGGAAAGGTTTCTGCCTCTGCTGCAGGAGATGATGAACCCTAGATGCTGCTTCGTCCGTCAACGTTAACACTTGCTTCCTCGTCGCCGGTCCTACTCTCGCCGCCGCAGCCGCTAAAACTCGAGAAGCCTTCATCGAATCGAACCCTCGAAGAAACTATAGGTTCACGGGTGTAGGATGATTTATGCAGAGTAAAATCTCAGAGCTAGAAAATGTCTCCTTAAGTTAACAAAACTGGACAATACTAGTAAATAAAGGTTCGGTCCGATACGGGTAATTGGGTTTCAAGTATGTAGTTCGGTTATGGGGAAAATAAACTAACTTTAAAATTAAAAAGAACTATATCTTGATACGTGCAACCGCGCTATATTTGTTCTCAAATTTATATACATATGTATCTTTAATAATAAAGTTGGGTTTTTATCTCTCCTTGTGGGCAAATAAAACACGTGGCACCTTTTTTTTTGGGCCATTTTCGAGTCTTGGGCTTTCAGCTTGATTCATTGGGTTTTATCAAATTTATGAGCCCGTCTGTGTTTAGGGTTGTCTTCGTCTTCCTCTACGTCATTAGTTTGGCTGCTGTAGTGCGAAGAACATTTCCTTCTTCNAAAGTTGGGTTTTTATCTCTCCTTGTGGGCAAATAAAACACGTGGCACCTTTTTTTTTGGGCCATTTTCGAGTCTTGGGCTTTCAGCTTGATTCATTGGGTTTTATCAAATTTATGAGCCCGTCTGTGTTTAGGGTTGTCTTCGTCTTCCTCTACGTCATTAGTTTGGCTGCTGTAGTGCGAAGAACATTTCCTTCTTCTTCTCATACTCAATGTTACTACCTTACAAACTAAATAAAGCTTTTTGGTTAAAAGCTGCAGTCCTGAATTACTTCTTGACTTTATATATGCTTTGTTTTCTGTTGTATGAACTTCTTTGAAACTTATGAATGCTCACCTCAGTTAACAATGAGATTGTCAAGAAAACCTAAAAGTGGCCAAGAAGATCAATTTTACAGTCCTCTAAGCTGTTTGTGTGTTTTCAGTTGCAGTAGGGTAAGTGACAATCATTTTTAGGGCAGCATCTCAGAATGTATTGGCAAGTGATCTCGGCTTAGAAATCTGTAAAGGTATCATTCATCAACAAAATTTTATTACTGTTACATTTTGTATACGGTTAACCAGATAATGAATAATTTCAATTGATTAGCAAAAGGAAACTGAAGCATGGCTTATGTTTAAAGCGATTTATTTTCTATACGACTGGTATAAGCATCATCCCAAATCTATCCACCAACCGGCATCAAGATCCTGTTTTTTTTTTTTTTGGTTTGTCAGTGACAAATCCATTTAAAAGCCTATGTCTTAGTGACTCTCACCGTTATAACGATTTGGTGTCATTGTGTGTAGGACTTGAAGTTCTTGACCTTCCACCAAATATCCAAGAAATCCCACAACACTCGAGGATGAGAGTACTTCAAGAACCATTCAGTGGCTCTAAAATCATACATGGGGAAACTATCCGAGCATAAGTTTGGGGCATGTAACTGGTACACTGATGCGTACTCCAGAATAATCTTAGTGTTCATTTTCTTCTTATTTTGATAGAAGAGAAATGCAGTAATCACGAGGCCGACGATACGGGCGGCTTTCCTTTTTTAGAGCTGGTGGCCAAAAAGCCTTCTAGCTAAGGTTGTGAAGTTGTCAGCCTTCTAGCTAAGAATGTGACAGGTGCTCAGATGGGAGTTATCGGTCTCATAATGACAAGTGAGCATATCTTTCCCATGATTGGAATCGCAGACCCTCTTGCAGGGTCCTATTCTTTGAGGGAAAATAGATATGGGCTCATGATCTCTGGTTGGCTTCTCAGTAACTTCCTATAGTCATTTCTGAAAAGCTCAAGGGCCCTGAAGATAGCTGCAATTGGGAAACGGTCAGTTCACTTACAAAATGTATTGCTGCAATATCATATCACTTTATGTGCTGCTATTCTGCCAAATGCCAAACGTATCAGTGTCAAACTTATACAAGCCAATGTTTCTTCTTAGCGGGTGTTCTTTACATTAAAAGAAAAAAGATATAAAGGGTTCAGTAACTGAAGAACATCGAATATCCAACTCAATGTTGCATTCCAAACAAATTTTATCAAAAAAATAATAATAAAGTATACAACTACAAAAGACATAAATCCTAAAATCAGAGGGTATAACCCTCAAAAATCACCAAGTTATAATATCTCACATCTCTGCAACGCATATGATAGATGTCTTAGGTCTGCACCACATACTGGGCATTTTCTAAACAAAAATGGAAACAATAGCATGAGTTCAGATCTGGCAAATGCCAGTCCAAGACCTCCCATCATCCTTTCTGCGCAGCATCACCTCATTTTATTATAGAGTTTACACCGTCTGCTCTTGTGTTCCACTGAAGTAGGTTTCAGTTTGTTTGATGGTCCAAGTTATATATTGCGTGTCTCATTATTTTTATTCAATCATTAGCTAAAAAACCAACCATTATTCAAAAATGTTCACGTAAAATAATTTCCAACTCTCATTGATCAAGTTCAGTAGTCCGAAACTGCCCAAAAGATATTTAATGCAAAGGCCACCATATAACATACACTTCCTCCATATAATAACTACACTGGCCACACCAAAAACATATAATTGATTTTCAATAGTACTCAATATATCTTCAAGCTTCACCACCACTCAACAACAACGTGAAGAAAAAAAATTAACAGGCTACGTCACATATTTATGATTCCTAAATTTGGTTATTTCAAAAACTGTCACCAAGCCAGCACCATAGTAGGTGAATCTTACGTTTGCAGCCTATAAAACCAACTGTTAGATAGTAAAATTTTTAAATAATATTATGAAACAATTATGGTCGAACTGAGCAACACAATAAAAATAAATAAAAATATATTTATTATCACAGTTATTGCAACTACGGTTAATGAAAAAAAATACAAATAAAAAAATGTATATAAAGGTAAAATATAACTTTAATACGAGTGACAATATACAGAAAAGTTATATACATTCCAATACGTGATGAATTTACTAACAGCTGAAGACAATAACATAACTGATGATCTTTCAAATCACTCTTACCATCAGAGACTATAACCAAAACGCGATTGCAAAGCTTGACGTCGACCTTATCATCACCGATTTTAAGGGAACTAATAGGCCTCCAATTACGTAAGAAGGAAACAATACATGCATAATGTGCTTCAGAAATTACAACAATGGAATTTATCTATGTTTTCTTACTTGTGGCTGTACTTTCCATTTCCACTGTATTTATTATTGGCTTTGTACAAAAATAAGTTGTCCCATATGTAGGGACTATCATCTATGATTTAGCTTAATTATAATTTTAAGGCATTTCTTATAATCCAATATTCAGTTTCATTTACATATTGTTTTCTATTTTTCGTATTAATTATAAACCAAAATATATAAATGTTTTCTCTCATTTCCTAACATCTTTAACATATACAAGGTATACTAGGATTGTTACTATTTTAAGAGGACGAAACTATATATTATCTTCCTTGAAACAACATAATCACAAAACAAACACAACTATTTACATTTTTCATTCACAAACATGAACTTCACTTTAAGTTTAAGTATTTACTAAATTAACTTTGTAACGTCTGTCAAATTTTTACTCTACTTTTATTTGTTTTGATTAATAACAACCACTTAAGTTATTCCACTAATAATCATAAAAGATCATTGTCTTCAACATAGTTACAACATCAAATTTCTGAACATAATCTCTTCACTAAGACTACAAAATAATCAAAACGTCTTCCATAATAACATATATGAATCCGGCGCGTAGCGCCGGCACACCACTAGTTTGTTCTAAATTATTAGTGTTATATATTTTTAACATTAATTATATACTTAAATGTTTATATAATTAGTTTAAATATAATAATTTTATAATTTACATGTTCTAATTAATTAGGTTTTTAAAACTGTAACACATAATTATCATTTTTATTATACATTTATCTTAATATATTTGAATTTAGTTATTATAAAAATTAATATATTATGAGAAAATATAGTAATAATATTTTATATTTAATTTATGCTAAATATTTTTAATAATATATTATTGTATATATAAAATTCTAACATATTTTAATTTTTAGATATGAATTATATTGTTTGCTAATTTTAAACCGTACTATCATCGTACTATATTTTTATCATAAATAGTTTAATTTTATAAAAATTAAATTTTATAAATTTATCAATTTAATATACCTTTTATCATATTTAGTTCAATATTATAATTGTATTTTGTATGATGATTATGAATATAACGTAGATGATTTGGATAGAATTTTAAAATTTTCATTTTATAAAGGATCATTTAATATATATTTATATATATATATATATTGATGCATAGTAATAGTTCATTGCTAAATAAGAAATTAGTAAAAATATTTACATAAATTTTGAAAATTAAGATATTTTAAAAATATTTTTCAACAGATTTATAAGAATTTTTAAATATAATATATAAATATATATTATATATAAAATAAAAATATATCATGATTAAAAAGTTACATATATTTTATATTTTTAGCTTTAATGAAATACTTGAAATTTTTATACATGTATTATATAGTTTGCCAATGTTAACCTGTTTTACCAGCATATTACATTTTCATTTTTAAAACATAAATATTTTATACATGAAAATAAAATATAGAAATTTATCAATTTATTACAATTTATCATATTTATCTCAATGTAATAATTTATTTTTGGATGATTGAGTATGTTCTATAATAGATGAAATATGATATAATTTTTATTTCACATTGTATAAAGGACAACTGAATATATTAATGTATAATAATATTTAAAAACTAATTTTCAAATTAGTGAAAGTATATAAATATAATTATTGAAAATTAAGATCTTACTGAAATCTTTTAAACAGGTTTGTTAGACTTTTTAAATAATTATATTTATATTTAAAATGAAAATATAAAAAAAATATTATGATTAAAGTAGTTCAAAAATTCTATATGTTATTAGTTTTAATAAAATGCATTTAATAAAAAAATAAAATGATGGTCCAAATTAAAAAGTCACATATGAAAAAAGTCATGACTTCTATTTTAATATATAAGTAACAGATTTGGTTTGGTTTGGTTCGAAAAAAGATTTAATTAGGGGCTGTTATTGATTTTAGATTTCAAAATAGTTTTGATTA